GCTAAGCTTTTTTCTGCAATTTGAGTCGACTGAATTCACAAGTTAAAACGCCCTTCTAAAACACTTCTCTATTTTAGACAATTCGCCATTTTTTTTTACTATTCAATTCAAAACAACCATGTCGAATGGTACAAAAATTTGTTCAGTTTCAGGATGGCGTCGACTGATGAGACGCAAAACAGCAGTGACAACAGAGAGCAACACGAGAGGGAGGACAACAACAACAGTAGCAACAACCGGTATCAGTCGGGAGGAGGAAAAGGGGGCGGAGGGGGAGGGGGAGGTGGAGAAGGTGGGGCAGGCGGAGGTGGAGGTGGAGGTGGTGGTGGGGGAGGAGGAGGAGGTGGAGGTGGTGTTGGGGGAGGAGGAAAGCAGCAGCAGCAGAAGTCGGCCCAGGATGCAGTGAAGAAGACTTGTGATGTGTGTGGGAAGAAGTTCAGGGAGTTGAACTACTGCGTACACTGTGCCATATCTGTATGTGCAGGCTGCAGGTAATTTACACTGTGCCTACCGCGAAAAACTGTCTGCAAAGCTGTCAAGTTAGCGTCCTACCCCCTGACTAGACTAAAATCAGATCTCCATTCTCAACATCTAATTTGGAATAAAAACAGCTCAACGCTGCGTGTTAAATGATCGATTCTCATTGGCTGAAAAATTCAGCTTTGAATCAAGTTAATATCTTCCCCTTAAATCGGTTTAGAGGGGAATATTTTTAACTTGATGCTAGTATCAATGCCTCTTTAGATGCAGCTAGTTGTTTTTTTTTTCAAAGAGCTAACTAATTTGAACGCTGCTTGAGACTGGACTGGCGAAGTTGCCTACCCGCACTGAAGTTTCATGGAAAACAATCGATTATAATGAATTATATCGGCGAAAAACCCATGTAATCGATTATCATGACCCATCTAACCATGAAAATGGATTTTTAGCGGATTATAATTGATTATTTTCAATATTTAAAAATCCATTATAATCGATTATTTTGACAAAATAATCGATTTTTTAGGCCACAAAAATCCATGAAAATTGATTTTTTTTTGTCTGCAGAAAATTGTTTACAGCTAATTAAACTCTTGAAACATGTGAATGAGAAATTTGCACAATACATCAAAATGAGACCAATATGTTAAAACACTTCAAACCCTGGAACGCACGTTTATGCATGTGCCAGGTCTTTCCTCACCATATTTCGAGAAAAAAATGTTTCAGGGCCAGAAACGCACGTCTCCCCCCCCCCCTTCGGTAGAACCTAGAACCAATCCCATCCCCCTGCAGAACCATTAACCCCGGGTAGAACCATCCCCCTCCCCGGTAGAACCATGCCCCCCCCCCATTTAAATTACAGTTAAATAAAAGGTTAAACTGCCAATTTGAAAAAGTAGAGAAACATAAACAATTAAAATCTTTGTGAAAAATTTAAGTTTATGACACGTAATCCGTAGCAACAGCACTGAACAGGAAATGAATTATTTTGCAAAACTTGAAAAAATCACCAAGAACTTTCAAAAAATCCAGCATAATCAATTATAATTGATTATGATGGATTATATTGATATAAAAAATATTAGAACTACAATCCATTTTTAATAGATTCTAATCGATTACTTTTGTAGTTTTATGGATACTGACTATTAAAATGACAATATAATCGATTATTATCCATGAAACTCCAGTGCGGGTAGCCCAGAATGATCAAAACTCTACATACGCATTCTGATCAAGAATTGAACAATCCTACGGCCAGTTGAACCGCGCCTCCTTTACCAGCACCGAGCACCCATGGATCATGATAGATTATATTGTCATAATATTGCCAGTATCTATAAAACTACAAAATAATCGATTATAATCCATTAAAAATTGATTATAATCCTAATACTTTTAATGCCAATATAATCCATTATAATCGATTATAATCCAGTAAAAATGGATTATAACCCTTATATTTTTTTGCCAATATAATCCATTATAATGGATTTTTTTGAGAGATAAGTCAAACAATTTTTTTCAAAGTTATCTCAACTCCTGTTGAGTGCAGTTGCTACGTATTAGGTTTAATAAAATATTACCTTTCAAATTAAAATTGGTAATTTTTTGTCCACTTTTTCAATTCATCTAGGTTCACACCCCCCCCCCCTTTACTTTATTCACCCCCTGCCAGCCAGTTTTGGGGGAGGGGGTTAATGAATGACACCCCCCCCCCCCGTTTAACTGGGGGTAAACTAGGGGGGGTGTAAACTAGGGGAGGGGTTTGGTAAACGGTAAACTGGGGGGTGGTAAACCGGATAGGGATGTAACATTTGCAAAAGACTGGCATACAATTTGTAATTTTCTTGCAAAATTTCTGCTGAATTAGTCGAATTTCGTTCTTAAAATAAAATGGATTATAATAGATTATAATGGATTTTTATTTCAAAAGTAATCGATTATTATGGGTTATCTTGGCAAAACCAATCGATTTCCTGGCCAAAAATAATGGATTATAATTGATTATAATGGATTATAGTGGTTTTTTTTCAAAAATAATCGATTATAATGGCAATATAATCAATTTCGTTGTCTGAATTTTACATCTGTAATGGATTATAATGGATTATTTTTGTCTCGGATATCCATCATAATCGATTAGAATCCATGGGCGCTCGGTGCGGGTACCTAATTAAAAACTCAAGGTTGTGTATTAGGATCACAAAAAGCATTTTCAAAGCAGGACAGTTAACCAGTACGCCTACCTGGCAAGTACATACTTTATTTTCAATATCCAGCCCAAAATACCGGAGAAAAAAATGAGTCCGATCTCGGAAAAATTATTTCAATCGGACTGGTATTTAAAAATATTCAAAACTCAAGTCAAGCCTTATGTATTAAGAACCAACAATTAGTTTTTTCGGCTGTGTTCAGATTTTTTGTTAAAAAATTTATTTTGTCACCTTGTAAATTTTGATTTCAATCGCAAAATGGCACCAAAACGGTATCAGTTTTTTATAATTAACATAGCTATTTTGTGGAAAAAGTTTATTGTTATTTAGGTCCAGTCACTGCGAAGAACTGATTGAAGAGTATGAGGATGCGAGACAGCAGGCACATGCTCTGAAGAGGAAAGTGAACAAGAAGATACTCGAGGTACAGGCTAACTTAGACGACATCGCCAGAACTTACAACGACAGGTACAGGCTCCTAGTTATTACACGTAGATTAGAATCGCCTAAATTAATAACGATGGGACCAGGGGCGATATAGGGGGGTGGGTGACTTCTTTCCCTCAGTGATTCATCCCCCTCACCAATCAATGGGTCCCCCCAAAAAGTGCCCAAAAACGTTTTTTTTTTTCCTGTTTTTTTTTCGAAAAATTGCATGCGGCGTATTTTTTGGTTAAGATAAGGTCTTTATAGTGTTCTGGGAGTACTCGGAAAAACAATTTGGTGGCCCTAAAAAAGGCCGACAAAAAAAAAAGGCCTTCGCAACCCATTTAGCGGATATGCACAATGGTTTGACTTGTGTAATGAATTGGTTTCAGTGAGAGCAGGATCCTGAAGGTGTTTGAGGAGTTGGAGGAGGAGTTGAGGTCGAGGAAGAAAGATCTGCTGGGGGATCTGAGGAGGAAAAAAGCTCAACAGTCACAGCCCCTTCAGAACGACAAAAAAGCACTCGGTCAGCACATATACTATCCCTCGCTTACGTTATTCGGGATATTATCACCTACTATGCTTAGTGTTTTAGAAGTTTTTAAGAGGTTGTGTATAAAAATCAACAGTATTGGACTCAGAAGCGTGCCGCGACCGCCCCACCCCCTCAATTCTAGTTCCAAAAATTTTCCAAAGGATACTCCTTTTGGTATAATTTAGCGAGATAGTTTGAGGGGGAAAGATCGCCAAAAAAAACGCAATTTTTAGGGCATAGTTTAAAAAAGTGCTCAAAGCGTCATTTTTAGACTGTTTTTTTTTTTAAGTTTGCCTGCGGTACTGCTGAGTTATTTATATTTTCCTATCCTACATTTTGGTGTGTAGAAAAAGAACTGGGATCTGTGCAGCGCAAATTTGAGAACAGCTGCAATGTCAGTGTAAGTGCGCTGCGTGCAGGGCTAAACTCAATCGGAGGCGGTAATGTAGATGACAGCAAGTTCGCACACCTGTGCTCATGTAATTACAAGTCCAAGGAGTGTCTGCAACAATTCGAGCAGTTAGCCGAACAGAGCGACCAGGTCAACCAACCGAATCTGGTCAGATTCAAGTACAAGGAGACCATTGACGAGCTAAAAGGCTCGGTGTCTTCATTCGCCGAGATAGAAGTTTATCCGAAGAACGTATGAGACGGAAAATAACAGCCAAAAGTTGAAAAACTGCGGAATCGCTAGCTTAAAAGTTTATATTTTATGTGAGCATATTGTAAGTTTTTCTGTGAGAAAATTCAAACCTGAAATGAGGTGACGTTTTAGTTAAGCGATTAGCCCTTGCGATTAGCTAGGTTTTTGTAACCGTGCACCCAATTTTTACCCGTAAACAACTTTGCTTCAGAATTTGCACGTGAATTGCAACGTACTTCCCGCACCGGAGTTCCATGGATAATAATCGATTATATTGAATTTTTGTGGTCTGTCTCAATAAATTTCGATAAAGATCGATTATAATCGATTAAAAATGGATTACAATCCATTATTTTTTATATCAATATAATCCATTATAATCAATTATAATCCAATAAAATAGTTATTACACTATAATCCAATTATAGTTATTACACGTAGATTAGAATCGCCTAAATTAATAACGATGGGACCAGGGGCGATATAGGGGGGTGGGTGACTTCTTTCCCTCAGTGATTCATCCCCCTCACCAATCAATGGGTCCCCCCAAAAAGTGCCCAAAAACGTTTTTTTTTCCTGTTTTTTTTCGAAAAATTGCATGCGGCGTATTTTTTGGTTAAGATAAGGTCTTTATAGTGTTCTGGGAGTACTCGGAAAAACAATTTGGTGGCCCTAAAAAAGGCCGACAAAAAGAAAAAAGGCCTTCGTAACCCATTTAGCGGATATGCACAATGGTTTGACTTGTGTAATGAATTGGTTTCAGTGAGAGCAGGATCCTGAAGGTGTTTGAGGAGTTGGAGGAGGAGTTGAGGTCGAGGAAGAAAGATCTGCTGGGGGATCTGAGGAGGAAAAAAGCTCAACAGTCACAGCCCCTTCAGAACGACAAAAAAGCACTCGGTCAGCACATATACTATCCCTCGCTTACGTTATTCGGGATATTATCACCTACTATGCTTAGTGTTTTAGAAGTTTTTAAGAGGTTGTGTATAAAAATCAACAGTATTGGACTCAGAAGCGTGCCGCGACCGCCCCACCCCCTCAATTCTAGTTCCAAAAATTTTCCAAAGGATACTCCTTTTGGTATAATTTAGCGAGATAGTTTGAGGGGGAAAGATCGCCAAAAAAAACGCAATTTTTAGGGCATAGTTTAAAAAAGTGCTCAAAGCGTCATTTTTAGACTGTTTTTTTTTTAAGTTTGCCTGCGGTACTGCTGAGTTATTTATATTTTCCTATCCTACATTTTGGTGTGTAGAAAAAGAACTGGGATCTGTGCAGCGCAAATTTGAGAACAGCTGCAATGTCAGTGTAAGTGCGCTGCGTGCAGGGCTAAACTCAATCGGAGGCGGTAATGTAGATGACAGCAAGTTCGCACACCTGTGCTCATGTAATTACAAGTCCAAGGAGTGTCTGCAACAATTCGAGCAGTTAGCCGAACAGAGCGACCAGGTCAACCAACCGAATCTGGTCAGATTCAAGTACAAGGAGACCATTGACGAGCTAAAAGGCTCGGTGTCTTCATTCGCCGAGATAGAAGTTTATCCGAAGAACGTATGAGACGGAAAATAACAGCCAAAAGTTGAAAAACTGCGGAATCGCTAGCTTAAAAGTTTATATTTTATGTGAGCATATTGTAAGTTTTTCTGTGAGAAAATTCAAACCTGAAATGAGGTGACGTTTTAGTTAAGCGATTAGCCCTTGCGATTAGCTAGGTTTTTGTAACCGTGCACCCAATTTTTACCCGTAAACAACTTTGCTTCAGAATTTGCACGTGAATTGCAACGTACTTCCCGCACCGGAGTTCCATGGATAATAATCGATTATATTGAATTTTTGTGGTCTGTCTCAATAAATTTCGATAAAGATCGATTATAATCGATTAAAAATGGATTACAATCCATTATTTTTTATATCAATATAATCCATTATAATCAATTATAATCCAATAAAATAGTTATTACACTATAATCCAATTATAGTTATTACACGTAGATTAGAATCGCCTAAATTAATAACGATGGGACCAGGGGCGATATAGGGGGGTGGGTGACTTCTTTCCCTCAGTGATTCATCCCCCTCACCAATCAATGGGTCCCCCCAAAAAGTGCCCAAAAACGTTTTTTTTTTCCTGTTTTTTTTCGAAAAATTGCATGCGGCGTATTTTTTGGTTAAGATAAGGTCTTTATAGTGTTCTGGGAGTACTCGGAAAAACAATTTGGTGGCCCTAAAAAAGGCCGACAAAAAGAAAAAAGGCCTTCGTAACCCATTTAGCGGATATGCACAATGGTTTGACTTGTGTAATGAATTGGTTTCAGTGAGAGCAGGATCCTGAAGGTGTTTGAGGAGTTGGAGGAGGAGTTGAGGTCGAGGAAGAAAGATCTGCTGGGGGATCTGAGGAGGAAAAAAGCTCAACAGTCACAGCCCCTTCAGAACGACAAAAAAGCACTCGGTCAGCACATATACTATCCCTCGCTTACGTTATTCGGGATATTATCACCTACTATGCTTAGTGTTTTAGAAGTTTTTAAGAGGTTGTGTATAAAAATCAACAGTATTGGACTCAGAAGCGTGCCGCGACCGCCCCACCCCCTCAATTCTAGTTCCAAAAATTTTCCAAAGGATACTCCTTTTGGTATAATTTAGCGAGATAGTTTGAGGGGGAAAGATCGCCAAAAAAACGCAATTTTTAGGGCATAGTTTAAAAAAGTGCTCAAAGCGTCATTTTTAGACTGTTTTTTTTTAAGTTTGCCTGCGGTACTGCTGAGTTATTTATATTTTCCTATCCTACATTTTGGTGTGTAGAAAAAGAACTGGGATCTGTGCAGCGCAAATTTGAGAACAGCTGCAATGTCAGTGTAAGTGCGCTGCGTGCAGGGCTAAACTCAATCGGAGGCGGTAATGTAGATGACAGCAAGTTCGCACACCTGTGCTCATGTAATTACAAGTCCAAGGAGTGTCTGCAACAATTCGAGCAGTTAGCCGAACAGAGCGACCAGGTCAACCAACCGAATCTGGTCAGATTCAAGTACAAGGAGACCATTGACGAGCTAAAAGGCTCGGTGTCTTCATTCGCCGAGATAGAAGTTTATCCGAAGAACGTATGAGACGGAAAATAACAGCCAAAAGTTGAAAAACTGCGGAATCGCTAGCTTAAAAGTTTATATTTTATGTGAGCATATTGTAAGTTTTTCTGTGAGAAAATTCAAACCTGAAATGAGGTGACGTTTTAGTTAAGCGATTAGCCCTTGCGATTAGCTAGGTTTTTGTAACCGTGCACCCAATTTTTACCCGTAAACAACTTTGCTTCAGAATTTGCACGTGAATTGCAACGTACTTCCCGCACCGGAGTTCCATGGATAATAATCGATTATATTGAATTTTTGTGGTCTGTCTCAATAAATTTCGATAAAGATCGATTATAATCGATTAAAAATGGATTACAATCCATTATTTTTATATCAATATAATCCATTATAATCAATTATAATCCAATAAAAATGGATTATATTTCGTATATTTTTATGCCGATATAATCGCTTATAATCGGTTATTATCAATTGTAATGGATTTTTTCGAGGGGTTAGTCATGAAATTTACAAGTTTTTTAAAAGTTATCGCACTTCCTGTTTAGTGCCGTTGCTTAATTAGGTTTCATAAAATGTTACATTTCACTATTCAATTCTTGTAATTTTTGTCTTATATACCCT